GGCTAAGATTCCAAGGTTGCATCAGCTAAACCCATCACCACACTGGAAAAAGAACTTAAGAGTATTTATAAAAGAAGGCTTACCATTATATACTAGAAATTCTAGTTTGATATAGTATCTTCCTATTACACAGAAAACAGAAACAGCTTTAACCTAGTCACCAAGATAGGAACCTGAGAGTGATGCTTGATACTTTGAATTCCCTCTTCTGTCAAGTATAATGGATCCTCAAATAGTAGTCTCTCCCACCCACTAAATGCTTCTCAACCTCCTCTCCATCCCCATAAGCTTAGCTCAGGCCCTTCTTAGTTTGCCTGGACTCTGGAAATTCTGACCACCATTGAGAACAGGATTTTTTATTTGTTTTGTTTAGTTTTTGGTCTACTGCTGTACCCCCAGCCCTGAGGACATTACGTAAAACATATAATGAAAGGTTCAATATATCCTTATTGAATGGATTTTAATAGCTGCCTTTAAATGGTCTGACTTTTATCTCTTTCCATTTCAGTTCCATTGTCTCTTCTATAACATGAGGTCATTACCTGAGTACAACTATTCTTATAAGACAGAATTCTGGCAAGACAAATATGGCCTTTCAGGTCCAGGCTCAACATACCTATTCACGATGTCATCTGTCACCAAACTACTCATACTCAAGTACACAGAAAGGCTCACAATTCTCTGTGTTCTTAGCCTCTGCACCCTTGTCTCTCTTTTGTCATTTGCCTTAGATCTCTGACTCCATCTCAAATATGATGTCCTGTATCAAATAAACTCTTTCTTCTCTTAAGCACCCAAGAACAATTTGTGTCTCTACTTCCTTGGCCTTCCTTCCCCAAACTTACTGTTATCATCTTATGCACATCTATTTTCTCTCTGTTATTCTTACTAAAGACTGCACACAGCAGGCTTCCAAACAATGTTTGCTGAAATGAAAAGAAAATACAGCATAATCAAGTATTTTTAAGTCTAATGCCTGTAAAGTGTTTTCTGCTGTATAAATGACAAACCCCACATGCTGGTATTGTTATGTTTTCCTAGAGTTCTATGGCATTCACTTCCAGATTTCTTTTAAATCAACCTTAAAACCAATTTTAAAAATCAAAATTGCTTTTTATATCACTGCAAAGGCATCAAAATACTATCTCATAACATATTCTCATGCTCCATTGCAATACACATGTTGAAGTGGAAACAATGAAAACTTTTAAAATGGATTTTATTTTTAAGATTTTAATTTTTTCCCTTTGCTTTTTGTTTACCAGTCTATAAATTCTAAAGAATTTATTAAATAGGCCAACTCTATAAAATTCAGATAAGCAGGTTT